CTATCCCGCGGGAGATCTTCCTGACTAACGAGTATCGGCAGTTTTTGTCGGCGGTTCGGGGCGGCTCCTGTCGATCATCTCTCTCCCCCTCTCCGTCTTGATTACTGCAAATCCCTTATGAAAGCTGCTGCTCAACATGCGAGGAATACTATCATTCTGAAACGACCGAATAGTGTTCTAGCGAAGTATCTGATGATACGGGGGATGGCTAGGGCGGTATTTCGTCGTGATTGGGATCTTGCTCTCCTCCTCCATCGCTCTCATTCTCTTTGTCGTGAACGCCTCCTGCTTGACCACCACGCTCGCACTCTCTCGCTCGCCGATCCCGCCGCGTTCACACAGCTTTCGAATGAGCTCCACTGGGCAGTGGCGCAGTCCGCCGAGCGCAAGCTCCAGGCGGAGAACGGCGCGGTGATGAACCCCAACCGACAGCTTCGTGCGAGACAGCGTGCCGCTCGCCAACGGAAACGAGACCGTCTGTCGGCCCCATTTGGAAACACGATGCCTCTTGCGGGAGTTCGGACCCCTGGTGAGTTACATGTTGAAAATCGTCCTCGGAAAATCCTGGACGCCCTGGCTAGTCATTGGGCCCCTGTGTTTCGTGCCAAACCTTTCGATGGCGAAGCGGCCGCTGCTTTTCTGGATCGCTTCGACCTCGCGATGCCGCCCGACGCCCTGTCGCCGCCGGCGTTCGGCCCTTTCAAGCGATACCTGCGCCGGTTGTGTCGCAGCGCGCCAGGCCCCGACCTGCTGCCCTACAGCGCATGGCAGAAGGCTCCGCTCGGCGCTGGGATTTTGTATGAGAGCCCCCAGTGGGTCCTGGAGGGCCACCCGCTCTGGCACGGGTTTAACTTCCTCACGGGGGTGTTCGTTCCGAAAGGGGAGGAACCAGGAGACAGTTTGGGAGGTGGAATCATACGCGCCGCTGGAGATACCCGCCCCCTGGGCCTTAAGAACTGCGACAACAAGATTTTGGCTGGCTTCTGTATCCGTGGGCTTACGAGATCCCTCACCCGATATACTGACCCCGCCCAGAACGGTTTCGTACCACATCGCCAGTTCGGGAACAACATCATCGAACTCGACGGACTCGCCCGAGTATTCAGTATGCAGCCTTCGCCGACGACGTCGCTTCCGAGTTTGATATGTCATGATTTCGGGCAGGCGTTTCCTTCTCTGTCTCAGGACTGGCTTTTCATGGTTTCGCAACGCCTGAACCTTCCTGGTCCGATCATGGCCTTTCTTCGGTTTCTGTACCAGGACGTCGTCTGCGTCGGCTCGATCGGCGGCCACACCAGCGTGCTTTTTCAGGCGCTCAGTGGCATCATACAAGGCTGCCCCGCCAGTGGCTCCCTCTTCGCTTGGGGCATGGACCCATTCATGCGCTCGTTTCGCCTGTTGATTGATGATGTGGGAGCGGTGCTTAGGAGCCTGGAGTCCCCCCCCTTCCTCGCCGACGTTTTCGAGAACGCCCAGAAGCTCGCCCACCTCACCCTCGAAGTTCCCAAATGCAAGTTGGTTCCCCTGGCGGGCCCCTTCACTGACGAGCTCAAACGAATGTACGAGACCCGCATCGCCTCCCTCGTCCCCAGGTGGACCTCGATCGACGTTGTTCCGATGGTGAAGTATCTTGGGATTTGGATCGGCCCTGGGGTCACTCCTGAGACCTCTTGGACTGGCCCGTTCGAGAAATTCCTGGATCGTTCGAAAAGCATCGGCCGCTCTGGAGCCCCGACGTCGACAGCAGCTTCGCTCTATTATGTACGGGCGGCCACCACGCTGTCCGATGTCGGCCAATTCCAGGTGCTCCCGCGAGAGCTTCGCCAGCGTGAGTACAGCGTGCTGGCATCGGTCTTTCGCCTCCCGTTTTGTTGCTTCAGCCAAGGATCGTGGAGCAATTGATTCCAGTGGGGCGGTCCGAAAATCCCGAGTTCGTGGATCCTCAATGCTGTTCAACTTATTCGGGCTGCGCTTTTCACGTTTACCTGTTGGGAACCGATCTCAAAGATGCTCCATCGAACCTGCGCTGAGGAGTATCCCCTTGCGCGTGCCATCTCTGGGCGCCCTTGGCCTGAGTTCTGGCAGGCACCTGCGCTCGCCCTGAACCTGGAGGCGGCAGCAAATGGTTTTCCCGACTGGCATTGTCTCCACCCTCTGTTCCCCCAGGCCATCCGTGCACTTCGGGGCGTCCAGCAAGCCCGCCCCCATCTTCCCCCGCACGCTTTTCACCCCAAACGTATCCTCTATCGAGAAGCTCTCCTTAACGTTTATCCTGACAGTCTCCGTGTTCTTTTTCGCAAACGCTTATATCGTTGGTTTCCAGATAAAGTTGCCGAAATTGACTCTGTTCCTTGAGACGATGTGAGAGCCGCTCTCTCCTTCCTTCCTCCAGCCTGGTCCTTTGCCGTTCTCAAGACTCTGTCTGGTGGGTGGATCACGCCAACACGCTTTCAAGAGCAGAACCCTTGTATATTTGGGTGCCCCGAGCCCCACAGGTTTTCCCATACTTGGCGGTGTCCCCATTTCTGTCGCGCCCTCACTCTCGCTGTCCAGCGCCCTCTGCCCTCCTGTCCCATCGCCCGTCTCGGGCTTCTTCCCCCCTCTCGCGACTCGCTCATTCTTTGTGTCCATGCGTCATACCTGCACGATGCTCTCCGCACATTGCCTGACCACCCCATCTCCGCCGCAGCTTGTCGAGCTGTGCTAAGTGCAGTTCGTCACCAGGTCGCCCGCCCCGCAACCATCGCGAGGCCAAGCGCACCCCGTGGCCGAGGTTGAGACCATCGGACGTGGCCCCCCCTGGCACGCTCGAGGAGGAGGACTAGGAGGCGGAGGAGAGGGGGGAGGAGGAAAAGGAGGGAGAGGAGGACGAGGAGGTGGACGAGCGGCCTTCTCAGGCAGCAGGCTTGCCACCGCTCGGGCGCCCGCTCCCCGTGCCCCTGCCCGGTCTTGCGCGTCCATGTTGGCTTTCGAGGAGGTCCAGCCTGGTCCTCCACCTCCTCCTCCTCCTCCTCCCCCTCCCTCTCCCTCTCCTTCTCGTACTCCTCCTCCTCCTCCTCCTCCTCCTCCTCCTCCTCCTCCTCCTCGACGGTGCATGTATTCTCTGGCGCTGGCCTCGACGGTAAGAACCGCGCGCTCCGTGTTCCTGAATTGTCAGGCGTGCCTTTTCCTGTGCAAGCTCTTCGGCACCGCCTGTTCTCCGCGCTCCCCGGCCGCCTGAGGCCCCGCCCGCCCGCGCCCTGTCTCCCCAAGTAGTGCTTCGCGCGCCTCGCCTAGCTCTTAACCGGAAGAGGCCCGCTCTCGACCCGCCGACCAAAAGTGTCCCTGAATTGTTTCACAGTTTGCCCCGCGTTTCCCCAAGGTTTTCGGAGGGAAATCGAAGCTCCGTTTACGAAAAAGAGGCCTCGCTCCTGGATTAGGGTTCCTTTGGTCAGCGCCCCGACTGCATTGCACGCGACCCGCATGGCCAGGATGAGCAACGGACGGGGCTAGGAGTAAGCCTGGCACGTCCCACAAAAATAGTCCTTCAAGTTTTTGTTGACAATGTTGGGGTATGTTTTGATTATTGTGCATTTGTCTTGCAAGATCCGCCTGTAGGAGGACATGCCCGACCCAAGGCTAGGACGGGGATAAATTATATGCAGAGAGTGCCGAAACGCTCTCAGAGCGTTCCAGAACGCTCCGACAAGGCCGCGGCGCCCGAGACATCCTCCAGAGCCGTCGGATCTCAGCGATTCTCGATTCTCGTACCCTCACCCGAGTTTATCCTCGTTCTGGCTTCGTCGTAGTTCTCCGCGAACCTCTTTTCGGCTCCGCCCTCCTGCCTGCAAACAGCCCGCACAGCGAGGATGTGCAACTGTCCAAGGTGACCTCCCTCGCATCCTACTTTCGCGGGTGGAAAGACCTCCTACCCTGACACGTCGATGAAGGAATTGGCCGTTTTCGGTTCGCGAGAGGGCGTCGCGGTCGTCATTTTTGCGGGTCCAGGTCCGTCGGTTCCGGTCCCAGGCCGTTTTCATTAAGGAGAGCTTTGCTACAGGGAGGTTTGTCCACCGCCGAAAGGCCTTCCTTTGCATCCTTACCGCGCATCCTTATCATGCGGGTTGGCTCTGCACCAGGCCACCCCCGAGGGGCGCGAACAGAGAAGCCATCCGCGCGTCGCGGCCTGGGCCAGAGCGGCTGCCCTCCTCCAGGGGCGTGGCGCGGGCGCGGGAGGGCGCGCAGTTAGGTGGCATCGGTAATTACAGTAGAATTGACTCAGTGTGGTCGACCCTGCCAAATCAAGGATGCCTTCGGAGGGTTTTTGGGTCCTCTGGCGCGTCCTCTCCAGTCACCCTCGAGTGCACTGGAAACGAAGAGAGTGGGTCGGACGAAAGAGTGGGATGCAGTGCAGGCCAAGTCAAGGATCTCCTTGTGATATGGGTCGACCGTGTATATCGCCAGGCCCAGCGGTGTGCTGCCGTTTCCGGTGTGCTCCCCAGGAGAACAAACAAAAAAACACACGGTCTCTTGGGGGGAGGCCCGGCCCGGGGCCAAGGACCCGCTTCCCGCAGGGCCCTACATGTTTTCTGTTTGCGCCAGCGAGCGAGGGGGGGGAAGAGTGAGGAGGAGGAGGGGGTCCTCTGAGAGGGCGGAGGGACGACTCGGAAGGCCGAGGTCTGCCGTTTCCAGGCGCCCCCGGAAAACAAACAAAAAACACACGGTCTCGGGGGGTGGCCCGGCCCGGGGTCCAGGACCCGCTTCCCGCAGGGCCCTATGTTTTTTGTTGCTCCTGCCAGCGGGCGAAGGGGGGGGAAGCGAGGAGGAAAAGGTCCTCTGAGAAGGCGGCGGGACGACTCGGAAGGCCGAGGTTTCCTGGCTCTTCGGGCAAGGTTCAGAACACTTCTCAGAAGGCCGGAAGATTCCTGAGCCTGTTGAGAAGGCCCGCTCCTTCTCAGTTCCCCCGCTGGCTCGCCGCCAAGTGCAGGATCGAGTCCCGTCTTCCTGGCTCCCCATCCCAGGATGACGCCAACGTCTCTGACGCTTCGGAGCTCGCGGACGGCACGCAGGAGTTCAGGACCCCGCGTGCGTTTCAAGATGCGTGGTTCTTCCGGTGAGTCCAGGCGGCGTGTGGAGAAGTTCTTGGGATGTAATCCGCAACAGATAAATTGACTTACGTAGAAACCTTATGATGGATTATTCCTTGGCCTCAGGGGAGGGTGGCGGTGTACAAATCACCACTGAAAGCCAGAGACTTTTACACCGCCACCCTACCTAAAGGTACATGCGAAATTCGTGTGCGGGTGCCTGTGTATACATCCGTAAGGGCTTCGCCCCCCTGCGGCCGCCCCCCGCTCTATCATAATGGAATGAATCGAGTCGCGTCGGGTGCTCTTGGGCGCTTTGGAGGCCTCGTGGGCCGTCTTGGGACCCCCTTGGGGCAGTCTTGGGGGCCTCTTGGGCCGTTCTGGCGGCATCTTGGAGGCCTCTTGGACGATGGTGGGGCGATCTTTGGGGGCCCTTGGGCCGTCTCGGTCGGGCCGTCGGAAGGCCGAACAGAAGAAAAAGGAAATGCCCAAGTCCTTCCAAAACCTTCTGACAATCAATGATGGTGGTCCCTTCGGGCCTTCCTAGCGGGCCTCTTCGAAGCCTCTTGGGCCGTCTTGGAGGCCTCTTGGGGGCCTCTTGGCCAGCTTGGGCCATCTTGAGGCTATCTTAGGCCGTCGTGGATGCATGTTGGGCCGTCTTGGAGGCATCTTGGGGCCATCGTAAAGGTCTTGGAGGCCTTCTTGGCCATCTTGGAGGCGTCTTGGAGGCCATCTTGGGCCATCTCGGGGACAATTTGTTCGGGAATGGCGGGCCTTCGGGTGGTCGGCGGGACGGGCCGAAGGCCCAGAGAGCGTTATTTGGGAAAAAGAGCCACAACCAAGAGCGGTAGGGTTTGGCACGAAAGGAACCCCTGTGGCAAGCCATGTATTACGGCTCGTGACGTGCGGTCGTTTTGATGTGTCGGCCATGCAAACGTTTATCGGTGTTTGAAGTGTGGAGTTTCCACTAATGCAAGTGGTCACGAGGCGCTTGCTAGTAGGGTACAGCGCGCAGCGTCTGCATCTGGTGCAGGTGACCAGCATTGTCCAAGGCATCAGTTACTCAACGATGCGAACATCGGACCAGCAGCCGTCCAGGTCAGAAAACATGATTTGAAACCATTTGAGGTTCATGCTTTGGCAATTGAGGTGCAGCCATGGGCCCTCTGACACATCCTAGGTTCTACACTGCGGCGCTGGTGTGCATGAATTGTTTTGTAAGCTTTGGGATTGCGTGAGTTGTGTACTTCAAGTCTTGTGATGTGTATTGCAATCTTGCACGCTGTCCACTCGGTCCGAGCAAGTGCTATTTGGATCTGGTCTTCTCGATTTTGGATCGGTATCTTCTCCCTCGTCTTGCTGCCCAGTGCCAGGATCATAGACGCGAACAACACCCAGAGGAGGGGCATCGATGTGCAGCACATGAGCATTGATATGGATGCATGTGGGAATGGTTGAAGCATGCCACCAGCTGTACCCTTGGAATTAAGAGCGTGCTTCGGAAGGATGGACACATGTTTCAGCGTGCTTGAAGCCTCGTGGCGTCGCGGTGACCCAGCGATGCCGTTCCGCGTGTAAGGTGGTTCTACCGCAACTTCAACGTTACGACCTTCAACACCGCGGAGGATTACAGAAACGTGGGTTTGGGGAGCTGGTGCATCAGCATGCCTTACCCTGGCCGTCGCACCGTGCCTCCTGGCGAGCAGCCTACTCTGCCACCGCTGCCTCGATACCTGTCGGATTCAGTGCCCACTGTGCCTCCAATTCCCGACGGCCCCCTCGCCCTCATCCCATGGATGCGGACCGGTCTTGCCGGGGCCTCCCGAATCTATCATGTCTTTCTCTGATGGCGGAGTTCTTAGAACGTATCTATCATATGTTCCAGACGGCCCGGGAGGCTCCCGAAACCACAGCCCGAGAGAGCCTTCAAACAAATTCCATGAGCCCGCTCCCCCCCCCCACCCCCCCGAAACGCTTCCAAGAGACTCCCTGAGGCGCGCAGTCGGCCGGATGTGCTTTTCCGGGAACACTTGGCCGACGACGAGGATGATGCGCATGGTGGTGATGATGAGGATGGCGATGGGTAAGACGATGGCAGTGACGATGTGCACAGCGTAGCGGTGTTGATGATTCGCGTAGCGGTGTTAATAATGATGGTGATGGGAATGAGACGGAAGTTGATGCTTCCGATGAGGATGAGGATGAGGATCATGTTGTTGATGATGATGAGGAGGAGGAGCAGGAGGATGTCGATGAGGATGATGATGTTGATGCAGATGATGATGCTGATGACGGCAATGATGATGCTGCTGCTGGTGATGGTGATGATGGTGATTCGAATCAGGATGCTAATTATGATGATACGCGAGTTTGACGTGAAGGCATGGCTAGCAGTACTATCCCAATGGTGTTATCGGTGATGTTGCTGGCGTCGTTGATGATGTTAGTGAAGATGATGTGTCTGATGAGTGTGTTCATGATGCTTCGTACGCTGACGATGAGTAGGATGATGCGGAGCAGGAGGGGTAGGACGGGCATGAGGATGAGCGTCAGGAGGGGTACACTTGTGCCACGCGTTTGTATTCCGGGTCCTTGCTTGACGTGTCGATGATGACAGCGTTGCGTTGCGCCCGATCGAACAAGTCGGCCCTAGGCAGAGCTCGGGTGGAAGCCAGGGAACCATGCGCCGTCAGAGCTGCACGTCGTCAATCCAACGGCGCCGTGGCTGGCCTCCTGGACGCGGAGAGGCTGACAGCAGCGCAATGCGGTTTCACATGGCCACGGCGATGAAATCGTATGGCACCAACGCGCCTGCACATGTGTGCATGTGCGGCTTGTGCCCCCCCTCGTGCACGCCGGACAACCCGCCTGTCGGTTGCCTCAAATAGCCACAGGTTGGAGCGGACTGCCTCTGCCTCGCCGCCGGCGCAGAAAGTGTGCATGTGCGTACACGCTCACAGATAGCAAGCAGTGGCACAGGATTCGGGCCGCATCTCAGGGGCAGCTGGTCCTGGGGAGATGCATCCCCAAGCAGAGCACAGCACCACGAAGAGGACAGGCATGTGGAGACGGGCCAGACCCCGCTTGCCATCCTCGGGGGGGGATCAGAAAGACATGGGGGGGGGAATGGACTCCCTTGGGCTACAGCCAAGACTCATAGTAAGGACGCACGGATATCCTGAGGGCACCCTTGCGTATTTGCCTCTGCGGCCCGTCCTTTGCAGTTTTTGTTGGTTGGCTAGCCCTTCAGGGTGTTGGCAGTCCGCCGCCCAAAAAGTATCAGCTTCGGCTTCCGAGACCATCGCGTCCTTACCGCCCGTCCGTACGATAGATTTCGACTGTACAGCCTTGACTCGGCGGCGCTCCCAGGGGGGAAGTGAGAGGGGACGGGCATTCTCAGGAGGTCTGGACGTTTCGGGGTCTTCTGAGAAGTGCTCCAAGCCTTCCCGAAGGCACAGACCACCTCTCCGAAGGCCAAGGGCCTTCTGAGAAGCCCCGCTGCCTTCTGAGAGGGCCTCCTCCGTTTCACCTCGGCCCCTCGCTCGCCTGCCGCAAACTCAGAACAGGTCGGGTGCAGAATGGGCCCGCCGTTACTGATGGGGCTCTTTCGTGGTTGCGCCTCTGGCGTTCCCCAGACCCAGGCGCTCATGGTGTCCAAGAGAAGGGGATTCCATTCCTCATCTAGCGGTCCCGATGGTAATGTCACGATGTTCCAACCTATCTCAGCCTTGATCGCCAGAAAGAACTTTGAGCACCAAGCAGGTACCGAAACTGGAAGGATTTCACGTGCCTGGCTCTGGGAAGCGATACTCGTCCGACACTTCGCTAGCATCTCTCAGGCGTGCGATTTTTTCTCGGCGAGGACCATCGAGGAGCCTCTTTGAGGCATCTATCGAGAGTCTACACGCACGAGATCGAACACTGCTCCTGGCCTTCTCCCCTCTCCCCCCTCCCTCTCTGCTCTCGTGCGTCCTCCCTCTCCCCCATTGGCGGTTCCAATGTTCTGCAGAGCATTCATCTCACCTGTCGGGGTGCTTCCAGGCACAGCCGGCCATCCTGGGTGGAGGCCAGCGTGTCGCCCACTTGCTGGCAGATGCGTTGCAGCGACATTGCATTGCTTCACCTCCAAGCCCATGCGATCGAACGCTGCACGAGGAGTGGCCGCCCGAGCGCGGGCGAGCGGAGGCGCTGCCGCTCCACAGCTGGCGGCCCCCATGTGGCCGTGGCTTTGGCTCTGCCCGTCGGCCAGGCGGCCCGCTCCCGGCGGGCGCCGCGCCGCGCCGCGGCAGCTCGCCACTGGGCGCGCAAGAGCCGCGCCGTGGTAGCGCCCGGACGTGTGCATGTCTGTTTCTTTCGGGGGCCTCGAGGCGGGGGTCAACGCAGACGGGGGTCGGCCAGAGCGCCGGATCTTGCAGGATCTTGCAGGGCCAGGGTCGCACTGAGCCAGGCTTGGGCGCAGGCTCCTGCAGGGCCTTGCAGGATCCTTCGCGTTGGCCCGGGCTTGGGTGCAGGATTTTGCGGGATTCTGCAAGGCCTGACTGACCCGGGTCTGGATTGACCCGGGTCAGCAGGTCCCCGATTCTTCGGCGAGGGCCATCGAGGAGCATTATGGTTCCTCTTTCGGGGGTGGATCGGCCTCCCACCCTGACACGTCGATGAGCGAATTGGCCGTCTCCGGTTCGCGAGAGAGGGCGTCGCGGCCGTCGTTTCTGTGGGTCTATAGGTCCGTCGGGTTCGGCTCTAGGCCTTTTTCGCGAAAGGGAGGATTACCAAAGGCAGGTTTGTCCACCGCCGAATCTTACGGAGAGTACAGGGTCCGGCTTGAATAAGGAACACCTATTTTTCAAAAGGGGCTCGGTCGTTCCTTGGGTTTGCATGAGCTCCGCTACCTTTTTGGCGGCGGGACCCCCTGGTGTTTCTTCGGATTTTCTAAGTCAGGCCGCATACTGTACGCACGGAGTCGAAGACTGCACGAGGGATGGGCGTCCGAGCGATGGGCGAGGCTTCGGAGGGGCGGCGACGCAGAGGATCGCCACCCACCGACCCGCCCGAGCCACACCCGGCGGCCTTGCGGGGGCCTCGTGGGGACCTCTTGGGGGCCTCGGCGGGGCGCCCAAGAGGTCCCCACGCGAGGCGCCCTCGCGAGGCTGCCTCGCGAGGGCGCTCTGGAGCTTCCTGGGGGGCGTGGCTGTGGCTCTCCCGGAGCCTGCTCTGGGGGCCTCTGGGGGCCTCTCGGGGCCTTCTCGGGGCCTCTCCAAGCCGAGGGCTCGGAAGGTCCGTTCGGGCCCCCCGTCTCACCACCCACCAAGCCACACGGCCCCAAGTTGCCCCCCATTCCTTTTTGGGAGGGTCCTCGGGGAACAAAAGCATGGAGCCCGTAGCCCCCCACACCCCCGAAGTTTGGGTCTTCCGGCTGGGTTGGGGTGGTTCGGTAGGTAGTCCGAGGAGGAGAAGGAATCGGCGTAGAGGGCCAGGTGGATGTGGAGGCGGCGGAGGAGGAGAAGCGCATCTCTCATCGCCGCTCCGCGTTCTTGTGCCACGCTCGTGCCAGAGTCGAGCACCCCAGAGGTGGCATGGCTGTGTAGCCGTTACAGCATGCAAGCATCTATCGGCGGCTGTTGCCAAAGCTGCGTTCTTGCGCATCTCCTGACGGGCGTTGTGCTCGACGTGATGCTTTGTCGTTTCCACCCCGTGCAGTTTGCCGCTCTTATTTTTGTTGTAGTGCGGCATTGGCGAGCGCCGTCGAGCAAAGGGGGACGTGGAGGTGATATTCAACCTGGAGTAGTTCGCTTGATCAATTTTATGCGGCAGTCTCGTTGTTGTTCGCGCAGCATATAGAAGCGAGGGTGATGCGCGATGGCACCTGAGTGGTATTGATTCCAGCACGGCTCCTCAGGGTCACAGAGCGAGCGTTGGGGCTTGTTCTGTGCCCAACTGACTGTTTCTACGACTTAGAATGGCATCTTCTTCAGCAAGTATGCTCTCCCTTTTTAGCTAATCACGCATATGTTGGAAATGCTGCGTTCGGCCCTTCTGCTATTTGCTGTTATCCAGTGCCCGTTTGTTGGTCGCCCTTGCCCTATCTATTCGAACTCTGATTTTGTTATCGGTTGGGGCACCCCGAAATCTATGAACGTGGTTCGACGCCATTTCACAGTTTGAACATCCGGCACCTGTCCAATATTTCCTGAAGCCCGTGCAAAGCCTTCCGAGACTTGTTCCTCACCGTCCCAGCCTCCCCTCAAGGCTTTGTCAGTCCGCTGTTGTCTTCCCTGACCTCCTTATGGAGTTTGAACATCTTTGTTCGCTTCCAGTCTGCACTGACTGAGTTGAAGGATGTTGCTGATTGGGTAGAAGGAGGACGAGGTGTAAGAGTAAAAGCATTGGGTCTTGCAAGAGTGTGTGTTCAGATTATGTGTCTCAATGATCCCGTCTCCGTCCCCAGCTGGCTCCACCATCCGATTGTCTCTCCTATTGACGCTTTAGTCGGCTGCGCCTGTTGCAGTATTGCTGGCCTGGCCTCACGCAAGCCTTCTTGCGCCAATTCCTATGGTCTTGGCGCCGTTGCCCGCCCCCCCCGGTGTGGCTTGTGGGGGGCGGAGGACGCGGAGGGTATGATGGTATGTTCTCGACCTTTGTGCGATGCTTACCATCCAGACCAGGCCATGCGTCGGATCCGTCCTCCTGATGGTGAGGAAGACGCGCAGGTGTTGTTGGGCTCGGGCGCGGGAAGGGGAGTCGTGAGCAGGGTCAGTTGTAAGGAGGAGCGGGAGAGGCACCGCTGACTGAAAGTGGGCACTCCTCTGTTCGGGTAAAGTTGCCGCCAGATCTGTTCCAAGGTCCACTCGCAGTGTCTCGCTGCACATCTGTTGAGCACGGCCGATGTTCGTGTCGCAGTGCCCGTCTTATGGCGCCCCACGTCACCCGTGGGTTCCTCGTGGTCCTGGGAGAGGGGAGCGGCAGGGCGGAGGAGGGTGGAGGGCGAGTAGGTCCCGGCCGAAGCGCACAGGACGGGCGGCCGTGGGCGTTTTTTTATCCGTCGTTTCGACGTTGGGCGGAAGGGGGGGCCTCCTCCTCCTCCTCCTCCTCCTCCTCCTCCTCCTCCTCCCTTCCTCCCCCTCCTTCTCCTCCTCCTCCTCCTCGTCCTCCTCCTCCTCCTCCTCCTCCTCCTCCTCCTGCTCCTCCTCCTCCCCCTCCTGCCCCTCCTCCTTCTCTTCCTCCGGGAGCGGTCTGGCTTCGGGCCTGCTTAATACCGACCGTGCGTGACCGTTGGGGAGACTCCGCCTGCTCGAACACAGGCCTCAAAGGCAGCCGAGATCCACTCCACGGGGGGGGGGAGGGGGGGGGCTGCGAGGGCCCGCGCCGATCGGCACAGCAAGGAGCAACAACAAAGGTCACGTCCGGTGTGCGGCGCAGCCCTGGCGCGCAGGGCCTGCGCGCGGCGCTCCAGGGCCCAAGGTCTATAGGCCCCCTTGCTGCGGTCCGAGCAGATACGGGGCCGGGGGGATCGCGCCGCGTCGCCGAGGCGTCGCCGGTGCGGCTCGGTGTGGAGGCCGTGCTTCCCCACGCCGACGTCGCCGATGCACCGCCGATGCATCGGCGATGCATCGCCGATGCAGCGGCGATGCTCTGGCGATGCGGTGCGGTCCGTCGGCCCCATCTGCTCCGACCCCATCTGGGAGGCCTCCTGTCTGGATCCTGCAAAGGAGGGGGCGCACCGGTGTGTGTGCGCGTTTGTGTGTGTTTGTGTGTAAGAGAGAGAGAGAGAGAGAGAGAGAGAAAGAGAGAGAGAGAGTTCGATCGGATTTTGCACCGAAGCGCCCAAAACAGATTCCCCCCAGCCGCCGGCAGCTCCCGATAGTTACCGATAGGTGGGGCATGCCGGGCGCATCGGTTTGCGGCAGTTCGGCGCACCAGCGGATCGAATTCATGCTCCCTTTAATGTCGGGGGTGGACAGAACCCCCAATAGTGACACGTCGATTAGTGAATTGTCCGTTTTCGGTTTTCGAGAGGGCGCCGTGGCCGTTATTTTCCAGGCTTGCGCCCGCCAGGTTTGGGCCCGAAGTCGTTTTCACTAAACCACGTTTTACTAAAGGGAGGTCTGTCCATCCCCGATAATGGATCCCGAGATAGGCGTCCCAGACCCCCTCGAGCAATGGAGGAGGAGGAGGAGGAGGAGGAGGAGGAGGAGGAGGAGGAGGAGGAGGAGGAGGAGGGGGAGGAGGAGGGAGGGAGGAGGGGGAGGAGCAGGAGGAGGAGCAGGAGGAGGAGCAGGAGGAGGAGCAGGAGGAGGAGCAGGAGGAGGAGCAGGAGCAGGAGGAGCAGGAGGAGGAGCAGGAGGAGCAGGAGGAGGAGGAGGAGGCCGATTTACCCCTCCCCCATCCCGTGGGAGATTCCGACTCGACAGGCGCAAGCGAGGCCGAGGTGCAGCGCGCGGCTGCCCGGTGCCCCCGAAGAGGGCCTCCGCGGGCGGGGCCTCGCCGGCACCTGGAGAGGCGGCGGGGTCGGCGCGCGCAGGGGCGTGCACCTCCTCGGAGGGCTCCGGCCAGGGCTCGCAGGTCGGGGAGGTGGGTCGGGCCAGGCGAAAGGGGGTCATTTTGATGTTATTTCCTACTTTTCTCTCGTCTTCCCCCTGTGGGGGGCTTCCTGGGTGGCCTGCGTCGCCTCGGGATCCTGGGCGGAGCGCACCCCCAGGGCCCGGGAGGGGCCCCCGGGGGCGAGCGGTAATTATTGGTGCCCTGCGGGTGTCTCCATGTCCCCGTCCAGGATCAGCGCATGTCCCAATTCAGGTGGGCAAGTCAGCCAGGCCACTCGGGCCGGGCGAAAGGGGGGGATTGGGAAAGGGGGGGGTACGAAATCTGCTGCATGCAGCTGGTTTCGGCCTCACCGAGGGGCCCATTCCTCGATACGTAGCCGCTTCCGGCGCTGGGATGCGCCGGGAAAACCAGCTACGTGAGCTGATTCTCAACACCCCCCTTTGCTATCCCCCCCTTTCGCCCGACCCGAGTGGGGCACAGGGGGGGATGCATCGAGCAGGATTGAGATCAGTTGGAAAGAGAGGTCCGTTTTTTCTCAACGGGCAGAAGGCTCATAGCCAACTGGAGTTTTTGTTTAGGTTCCTCATTCCGATTGGTCGATTGAGAATGCATGGGATCGTGCATAATTTTGTTCATAGACTCTCTTTTTTTCTTCCTATCTCCCATTGATCGCCGATAGGGGCCCGATAGCCCCAACCTGCCCAGGAAGGTGCGGATTCACTGTCGGAGGCCTATCGCCGATCTATCGGCGATGTATCGCCGATTCCAGGTCGATGCATCCCCCCCTATGCCAGTCCCCCCTATCGTTGCCCCTCATCAGAGGAGGAAAAGTTACCCATACCTTTACCCTTAAGTGGGGCCTGTCCCTTTACAGGAGGAATATTTAAGAATAGGCAGCAAAATAGTCCGGCGACGATTTTGTGACTAGTTGTGTTCTTCTGTTATATTGTTCAATATGTTTCATGTTTCGTCGAAAATCCCCTCGTAGGGAGACGTGCCCGACCGAACTTTACCCTTCCCTGGTTTTCCCCTGTGTCGGCCTCCTGGGCGGCTCTCGTCGCCACCGCTGGATCCGCCCCGAAATCCTGGTCAGGACGCACCCCAGGAGAGGTCCAGGGAGCAGCGGTATGGGTACCTTTTGGTTTCCCCAGACTCCTGCCCCGATCCTGGACCGGGGCCATACGTCAGGACGATCGAACAGGGGAAGAATGGGCACAAGGATCGCACATTCTCCTCTTCCTCCTTCTCCTCCTCCTCCTCCTCCTTGTCCTCCTCCTCCTCCTCCTCCTCCTCCTCCTCCTCTTTCTCCTCCTTCTCCTCCTCCTTCTCCTCCTCCTCCTCTTCCTCCTTGTCCTCCTCCTTGTCCTCCTCCTCCTCCTCCGCCCCTGGACGCCCTCCCAATTGCCCCCCCCCCAGGCCAGGCCACGATCGAAATGGGTACGGAAAGAATGGGCACAGGGATCGACAGCAGTTCTCGAAGGAGAAAATGCGCCATAAACAATTGTTTGGCGCTCCGCGCATATTTCTTGGCTCCGCGCGGGGCTCGGGGGTGGACAGAACTCCCACCCTGACACGTCGATTAGTGAATTGTCCGTTTTCGGTTCTCGAGAGGGCGCCCTGGCCGTCATTTTCCAGGCTTGTCCCCGCCAGGTTTGCGCCCGAGGTCGTTTTCCCAGAACCACGTTTTACTAACTGGGGGTTCTGTCCATCCCCGATGAGCCCCCCCAGCGGAGCCTGCGGCACAGCCCAGGGCGCGCTCCGCGCGCCAGGGAGAGGGGGGTCCAGCGCAGATCCAAGAAATCCGCGCGAAGCGCCAAAAGTTTATGTTTATGCAGTTTTTTCTTCTTCAAAGTTCCTCCTGATTTTGACCTGGACTCGCTGTCGGTGTCGCTGCGGCCTGTGTCCATTTGAGACAGCAGGCCACCTGCCCAACAGCGGCCCCAACGCTATTTGAGACAGCAGGCCACCTGCCCAGACAGCAGGCCACCTGCCCAACAGCGGCGCCCATGTTTTCCGTACCCATTTCGGGCGTCCATCCTAATATTCCCCGATGAACAAGTCGGAGGGCCGCTTCGATGCTCCGGATCCTCATTGGTGCCTCAGAGGCGCCGAGGGCCGTATGGGAGCCGGCGCCGTTTTTTGTTGCAGGCGAGAGATGTATTGTCCCGTGCAGCATTCGAATCAAGTGTTGCCCGCATCCAGAGGACCTCCAACGCTGTATGTGTTCTGCCATGCTGTGAGGCGGGCCAGCGCCGTGGACCTGTCAGCCTCGAGAGAAAACACGATGTAACAACACGTCTAGCTCTGGTGGCATTCGCCGACATTTGAGTGTGTGAAAGGTTGGAGCACAGACGCGTTCCGAATAGGCGTCATATGCGCAATCATGTGTAGATGCAGGTTGCTCCATATTTGTGCCAGGGGCCATCGATTCAGTAGCAGCACAAGGACACGGGATCGGCAAAGGGGGCTAAATGGAAGGATGCCGGCGATGCATGGGCGTATTGGTGATGCCAGGTTGGATTCAGCAACAAGCAGGCATTGTTTTAACAGGAAAGGGAGGTGTTATCCGAACCCTTACAGCTGCATAGACCTCGGCTCGGACACCAGGACCCACGAGCGGCTTGGGGATGAGGAGGTCGTAGGTTTCATCCGCAGAAGGGCGAATAAGCCAATGGGGGTGCTCAGGGGGCAGCGAGAAAGGATATGCCCAGGTGCTTGCTTTCCTCTCATCTTCATGTCGTCAAGTGGCGTATGCCATTCCAACGACCCCCAGGGGCCCAGAGGAGAAGGATCCAGAGGCGGAGGAGGAGGAGGAGAAGGAGGAGAAGGAGGAGGAGAAGGATCAAGAGGAGGAGGAGAAGAAGGAGAAGGAGAAGGAGAAGGAGGAGGAGAAGAAGCCCAGAGGAAGAGGCGGAGGAGGAGGAGAAGGAGGAGGATTATGGCGACGACGAGGCATTTTGAAAGGTGCTTGGCGTATGGAGCTGGGCGTGTTGAGGCCCATTGGGAGGAGCCTTTCGAAGATCCCTGCGAGCATGTTGGTGATTTGTAGGGGGCTGTTGTTGACCTTTTGGCGGCACGTTGGGGGTCTCGGGGGCAGTAGTGTTGGCATTGCCCACCCTTGTTGAATTTGACTGCTGATTCCCAGGGAGGGGGAAAGGGGAGGGGGACAACCAGCTGTCGCACACGACTTGTCACGTCCTCATGCGGGGGTCTGGGGCCTCACTTGGGCCTTTTAAAAACAGTTTGGGGGCTTCTGGGGGCCTCACTTGGGCCTTTTGATAACTAAGTTGGGCGCTTGCTGGCGGTTTTCGGGGGCGTCGTGGGCGTGGGGGTCCTCTTGGAGTCCTTTGGGTGCGTCTTGAATGCCACGTGGGCGGTCTGGACGCCATCTTGCTTAATTATGGGTTCTCTTCGGCGGATTGGAGCCCAGCTGAGCTGGCATCTTGCGTGTCTTGGAGGGCACGGAATGTAGATTTAGATGCTCCAGAGGCCCGGAGGGTTCGTTGGGGAGCCTGGAGACCCCCCCTCCCCGCGGGTGCGTTGGGGAGCCAGGTCACCCCCCCCGCCCCCCCCCTTAAATTCGATAAGTGGTATTCGGGGGAAGGGGGAAGGGCAGGGGGACATTCAAATGTCTCACACGTCCTTTCACCCCCGGCAAGCGAGGGTTGGCAGATCTTTCAAAGTGCACGGGTAGCTCGTCTGAGATGCGTTCCGTAGTCCATCTAGTTCGAGTCAGCATGGACGCGCTAGCAGGGGTCGTATCCTGGCTGAACGCGTTTCTGCGCATTGGACATTTAATCAATCAGAGTCGCCAAAATGGTTTCGTATGCCCTGACATTACTTCAGTAGCAAATCGGCGGAGCTTAGCATGCCATCACACAAAATTCGTCTTTACGACGCACTAGCGTGCGCTAGTTTTTGGTAGTTGGTGAGAAAGCGCAGACTCATCGTCGATTAAGCGCCGATCAGGAGGAGGAGGACGACGAGGAGGGGAGGAGGAGGAGGAGGAGGAGGAGGAGGAGGAGGAGGAGGAGGAGGAGGAGGAGGAGCAGGAGAAGGAGGAGGAGGAGGAGGAGGAGGAGGAGGAGGAGAGGAAGGAGGAGGAACTGGAGGAGGAGGAGGAGGGATAATCCTGTCATCAAGCCAATTGCCAGTCTCACGGAGCAGGAGGAGCAGCAGCAGGAGGACGACGAAGGCCATGGAGCACGAGAGGGGCAAGGATCATGAGGGTGCATGGGGCGGAGGTCGGACGAGGCCAGGACCAGGATACATCCGTTCCGGAAGGCTCTCGGAGCGTTCTGGAAGGCTCTGAGCAGGCCACTGCGCCCGAGACATCTCCCATAGCCGCCGGCTCTCAGGGATTCGGACGCACCCCTGTCGAGGATGGACGGCCGAGACATCTTCCAGAGCCAGAGCCGCTGGCTCTCAGAGATTCTTGATGTGTCCTCGCCCGCTGCTTCTCCTCGGCCCGGCGTCGTCGTGCCGTGGAGAGCGAGAGGGACAAAGGTCACGTCGGAGGTGGATAGACCTACCCTGACACGTCGATTAAGGAATTGGCCGTTTTCGGTTCGCGAGAGGGCGTCGCGGCCGTCATTTTCGCGGGTCCAGGTCCGTCGGTTTCGGTCTTAGGCCGTTTTCACTAAGGAGAGCTTTACTGAAGGGAGGTTTTTCCACCGCCGATCACGAGAGTGCATGAGAGGCGGTGCAGGGGCCGCGGCCCAGGAACAGCGCGGACTGCCAGTGGGTCCCGCCGGCATGTGCTGCCCTTGCCGCGCCGCGGCCGCGGCCGGCGGCGGCCGCGGCAGCGCCCGCGGCAGCGCCCGTCGGGGAACAGCCGCTGCCAGGGGAGAGGGGTCAAGCAGTGGCGAAGCGTCGCGACCTGCCTGTAGGCCTACCAAACAATGCTCTAAGAGCCGCTTTTGTTTTGCACGAAGTGCTCTTTGAACACCTTCTGGCTTAGACCGTCTTGTTTTAGTGCATCGTTTAAGTTAAAATGTCTTCAGAAGAGGGTGCGGACCCAAACCTCGAAGCAGAAAAATAAATGCATAAACAAACTTTCGACGCTCCGCGCGGATTTCTGGGATCCGCGCTGGGCCCCCCCCGGCGGCGCCAGAGGCGGCGCCCCCGGCGAGACATCCGCGCGGGCCTCCAACTTTTTATGTTCTTCCTTTCTTTCTTCCTCCCGTGCTATTCCTACTTTATGTTATGTGATCCCTTTCTTCCTCCGCTATTCCTCTCTTTCTTTCTTCCTCTGTTATTCCTTTCTTTCTCCCTCTGTCATTTGATGTTATTTCCTACTCTTCTCTCGTTTTCCCCCTGTGGGGGCTTCCTGGGTGGCCTTCGTCGGCACGGAATCCTGGGCGGAGCGCACCCCCAGGGCCCGGGAGAGGGCCCCCGGGGGCGAGCGGTATTGGTACCCTGCGGGTGTCTCCAGGTCCCCGTCCAGGAGCAGCGCATGTCCCAATTCAGTCGGGTCGGGCGAAAGGGGGGGTTTGGGAAAGGGGGGGTTACGAAATCTGCTGCATGCAGCTGGTTTCGGCCCACCGAGGGGCCCATTCCTCGATACATGGGCGCCTCCCGGCGCCGGGAGGCGCCGGGAAAATCAGCTACGTGAGCTGATTCTCAAACCCCCCCCTTGCTATCCCCCCCTTTCGCCCGACCCGATTCAGGTGGGCAAGTCAGCCAGGCCACGCGAGTGGGGATGGGGGACTGGTCAGACGATGCCCAGCAGAGGGGTCCTGGAGGTCAGCTTTGTCTCGCCTGTCCCCGTCCCCACTGGGCCATGGTAATCAGCTCAGCCCCAGGGATAGGCCCCGAGACACCGCAGGGGACAGCGTATATCCCCATCTTGGCGGGTGAGTCGGCCAGGTCGCGCAAGTAGGGGTGGGGGCAGGTCAAACGATACCCAGAGGAGGGGTCCTAGAGGACAGGAAGAGTCTGGCGTACATTTTGGCCGTTCATCGTTGGCATCATCAGTTCTGCTGCGGATCAGACGCTGCCGCCTCGATGTGCAGGTCACGGAATACTGTGTGTACAAGTTGTGATGCGTATCCATGATTGAATATACTTGTCTATCGCGGTGTAATTATACGATGACGATCGGTGTGCACATACGTATCTATACAGTACATATACACATACGCATATACAGGGTCCTGTATCTACATACATATCTTTATATATATATATATAGAAACAGAAACCAAGAGCCACCATTATTCCCTCCCCATTCCTCCCCCGCGCGCGTGCGTGTATGTGCGTGGATAGTGCTGGGTTACCCGCTGTCCCCTCCTATTGCCCACTCTGCGTTGCGTGAGTGTGTGTGTGTGTGTGTGCGTATGTGCGTGCATGCGTGCGTGCGTGCGTGCGTGCGCGTGCGTGCGTGCGTGCGTGCGTGCGTGCGCGCGTGCGCGTGCGTGCGCGTGTGCGTGCGTGCGTGCGCGCGTGCGCGCGCGCGCGTGTGTGTGTGTGTGTGTGTGTGTGTGTGTTTGTGTGTGTGTGTGCGTGGGAACCGGGGCAGAAACCGCTGCCTCCACCACTTCCCCCCGTCCGTTCTGGGCGACAGGGTGCGTGCATGTGCAACCGCTATCCCCCCACTTCCCCTTGGCGCTGTGCGCGGGCGTACGAGAGAGCAGCCGCCCCCCCCCCCCCCCCCAAAGAGGGGGTGGCAGCTCCATTGCGCTCCCACGCGCGAGGCCGAGGGCAAGTGGGAAGAGGTAGGGAAGAGGTAGCGATGGCCCCCCGCACTCCGCACGCCCATGACGGATGGGGGGAGCTGGTGGGGAAAGCCGTCTGGTTGTTCTCTCTCTCTCTCTCTCTCGTTTTTTTCGCTATCCTTCTCTCTCTCCTTCTCTCTGTTTGTTTGTTCTCTCTCTCTCTCTCTCCCCCCCTTTTTTTTCTCTATCTCTCTCTATATATATATATATATATATGTATTATATATATACATATGTCCCTCTCTTTCTCTATATATATATATATATGTCTATGTATATCTCTCTATTTATCTCTCTCTCTCTCTCAGCACGCAGTGGGCAGCGGGAGGGAGCGGGAGGTCGCCCCTGCGCCCTCCGCGCACGCGCGCAGAAGAGGACATCGAAAGTCGGGGCGCGGCTCCTTTCCCTCTCCCTCTCGCTCTCTTTGTTCCTCTCTCTCTCTCTATGTTTATGTTTTTTGCTTTATCTCTCTCTCTCTTTCTCTCTCTATTCTATATATCTGTTTGATGTCTCTCTCTCTCTCTCTATCTCTCTTGCTCTCCCTCAGAAGACTCGCACAGACCAGGCGAGGGGCGCCGTGAGCGATCGAGGTGCGAGGAGGGATCAGCCGCGGGGAGCGAGGTGAGCAGCATGGTAAGCGACAGGGCAAGAGAGACGAAGGGGCAACTGCCCTTGCATCGCTCGGACGTGCGCATGCCTCTCGCGGCGAGGACCATCGAGGAGCATCCTTGATCACCGATCCGAAGAACAAAAAAAAAGAAGAAGAAAAAACACGCACGACACCGAACAAGTGCACGGGGAATGGACGTCCGAGCGATGGCAAGCCACTGCGCAGCCCACCCTCAAAGCGCGGGAACGCTCCGCAGCCGCGCCGGCCGGAAGGTGCCCCGGGCCGTGCGAGAACCGTGCATCTCGGCCTCCTCGCCGAGGCCATCTTGAACGCTCCAGCGCCTCGCGGGACACCCCGCCCAGGTCGAGGGGCAAGGGTCAGGGGGAGGGTAAAACGACGCGAGGATCGGGACAACATCGGATCGGGGTAACTCGAAATCTCTGAGACTCGGCGGGTTTGGAGGATGTATTGGGCGCCGCGGCCGCTCCAGAGCGTTCCGGAACGCTCTGAGAGCGCTCCGGAACGCTCTGGAGCGATTTATCCCGATCCTAGCCCTGTTTTAGAGGGGCACATCTTCTCCGATGGGGAAGAGGGGCGGTTTGCAGTGGATGCGCTCTAAACCACTCACGCCCTCACCGGCAGTAAAGGGCTGGTGGGATCAGAGCTGGATGCAGCTCCATTGGCGGGATCCGGCCAGCGCTGGACCGGGCCATCTCGAGCCGTTTGGCCGCCCCCCCGCCCAGGCACCTACCCTTCGGTTCCCTGGGAAGGGGGGATAACCTTTGCCCACCAACCTCCCAAGGGTTTCCGGAGGGGGTGGGGATTGTGTGAAGCCGAGCGACGGTCGATCGCGTCCCCGTTGATATTTCGACGATCTGACGCGCCCCGATGTATGTGCGGGGCTAGTGTGCATCTTGCCGAAACCGGTTCGATTCCGACTCCGTGCCGGTGCGACCCGATTGGATGTACATTCCGTGTCGATCAGATTTCCCGGTTCGGTGTTGATTGTTCTTGGGGTGGTATGGGAATTATTTACGAGTTGCAGCTGGCACGGAGGTCAAGAGTAACCCCAGCTTTGGAGGGGTGTTCTTGCGCTCTTCGTGTGTTGGTCTCCCTGCCCTGAAGTGGCCTTCGCTTGGGGCATTTCAGTGTGGCACTCGGCGAAGGGGGCCCGTGTTTACGACCCGCGGTGTTGTGGCCCTGCTCAGGTTGCAAGCAATTTTGGGGTACGTTGACGTGCTCGTGCCGCGCCAACCGAGGCTTTTCCTCAACCCCTCTTCCCCCCCGAGAGCCTTGCATCTTGTCCTCTTGTTGACGTTGGCTTCGCGGCTGCCAGGTTCATTTCATGACCGAGATAGATGGCAGCCAGGACGGAACGCCGACATTTTTTGAGGTCCCTCACACCTCAACCAAGTACGCCGCGGGTGGGATGGTTCGATCTTAGTGTGTGTGTGTGTGTTGTCTGTTTCATGCTTTGATGCGCAGGCCCATTCTGTCATCAGCAAAGTAGAAGCGAAACCATCAGTGTAGCAATTCATTCATCGATCCCTTCAGTGTTCCGTTCGTTAACATGTGGGCCCAGCAGTGCTTGCTGACAAGGGCATTCTGGCTCGTCGGATGGTCGCTTCTTACATTATATTCGTTCAATGCGTCATTCCCATTGCATTGTGACGATTTCAATGGTGTGTTTATTATTTTAGATGTCGTGCGTCCGATTGACGTGGTGTAAGCGACCGCCAGCCAAGTCAGCACTCTTGATCCTCAAACGTGGAATTGCTCTACCTTGATTTGTACCTATCCGCGCCAAGAATAATCTCGGTCGGCAATTCGTTTATCGCCATCATGACCCCACACGGCCTCAGCGCGCAGGTATTTTATCTCAGTTTACGCGACCGAGAACTCCGCATACACGCTTACGGTGCCACATGCAATCCTGAATACATGTGTTATGTTGGCTTGTTGTGCTCATTGTGTTGCCTGTCAGCATTCCGTATCATGCCAACTTGTTTGCCTAGTGTGTGTGTGTGTGTGTTGTGTTCTTAGTTCTTAGATTCAGTGACCATGGCGATTAGGTTGTGGTTGATAGTGCCTGCAAGTTATGAGCATTGCGCTCTGAATGTTCGGACGGCCCAATCTGAGTCGCGCGTCGTTCGTCGGCCACGCTGATTTTCGGATTACGTATTGGATGTTCAGGGCTGGACCAGAGGTGGGCCTACGCAGAACCAGGAAGGCACCGCGGGGGAGGGAGATGGGACAAGGATTGAAGGGCTTCTTCCCTCTTCCTACTAGATGGTCCAGGGAGCACCTAATTTTAAACAAAAGCCCATAGTAAGGATGGGCATGTTTCCCAAGGGTACCCCCTTGCATTCTTGCCTCCTCGGCCCATCCTTGGTCACTTTCATTGGCCGCGCCCCGCTCGAAAAGCTTCGAAACGGCCTTCCAAGGCCCTTGCACCCTTATCGCGCTTCCTTATTATACGGGCCGGCTGTATGTCCAGCCATTGCCGTGTTTGCGAGTTGACGGAGGTCCAGCCTCCATTTCCATCGTATTTCCACATCTTCAGGCAATCAGGCCTCCTCTTCCGCTCGCGGGAGCGAGTTGCGCTTCTCGCTCGCGGGCAGCAACCATACCCGCAGCTTTTATTGTTCGCAGATGTCCCGCACAGAGGGACCTATTTCATGAGGGAAAAAACACACAGACACAATTAATCGTCGATTCCCCAGAAAATATGGGAAACTATGGGAAGTGGAGGAAGACAAAAACACAGAAAATATGGGGAAATATGGGTAATCCTGTTATTTGTGTGTATTTATTTGTGTGTCCCAGGGCCCCTTCACTAATATACGGGTCGGCTGGACCCGCGCTTCGCTGCCTGGGCTGGAGACAGCGCTTGCCCAGGAGGAGAGAGCGAGCACGCGGAGGCAGCGCGCGGCGCGCAGAGCGAAGTTGGGCACAGTGAGAGTCCATAGTAAGGTTGCGCTGCGTGAGCAAGAACACCCCTCCTCCTCCCTCCCTCCCTCCCTGCCTCCCTCCCGCCCTCCCTCCCCTCCCTCCCCGCCTCCTCCTCCTCCTCCTTTTCCTCCTCCTCCTCCCTCCTCCCTCCTCCCTCCTCCCTCCTCCTTCTCCTCCTCCTCCTCCTCCTCCTCCTCCTCCTCCTCCTCCTCCCTCCTCCTCCTCCTCCTCCTCCTTCTCCCCCTCCCAGCCCTGCATCCCTGCTTCGTCGACCCCTCCCGAGCCAACGGTTGACGTTCAAGGAGCTTTTCACCGAAGGCGAACCACAGCAGCACAGGCACACACGGTCGACGGTCCGCGCGCATCTCCTGGAGCTGCGCTGGGCCCCCTTGGCGGCGCCTCCGGCGCCGCCCACCAAACCACCCCAACCCAACCCGAAGGCTGAGATTTTCCCTCGATTTCCAGTGGGGGGGGGGTCGGGGAACGTCGAAAAAACACATGTGGAACCCTTACCCCCCCCAACCCGAAATTCGGGTCTTCGGGTTGGGTTGGGGTGGTCTGGTAGGCAGTCAGCCTCCGGCGCCGCCCCTGGCGCGCTCCGCGCGCCACGGAGGGGGGTCCGGCGCAGGTCCAAGAAATTCTCGCGGACCGTCAGAAGTCTGGACGCCCGAAATGGGTGCGGGAAGAATGGGTACAATGCCCAACAGCACTTCCTGTCCATTTTGGACAGGACTCGCTGTCCGCGCCGCCGCGGCCTGTATCCATGCGAGACAGGAGGTCGCCCGCCCAACAGCGGCCGCTGTTGGTTTGGGACAACACTTGCTGTTGGGCATTGTGCCCATTCTTTCCGTACCCATTTCGGGCGTCCAAAAGAAGTTTCTGTTGTATATGGTATTCTATCCATGTGGCTAGTGGGACTTCCAAAGGTCTTGCACCTTTTTTTTGCGCCATTGCTACCGGTTTTGACTGCAGCTGATGTCCCGTCTTTTGCGCTGCTGGGTCAGCCAGCGTGTGCCCCTCGCAGCTTGTCGGCAGCACCCGCCCTCCCCCTTCCTCGCCATCCGTCCCTTTCTTTTTTTCGGCGGCGAGCCACGGGGGGAAGTGAGAAAGCGATGGCCTTCTCAGAAGGCGGCGGGACTTCTCAGAAGCCCTGGCGCCTTCGGAGAGATTTGCTGTGTCTTCTGGGGAGGCTTCGAGAAAGATGCTCAGAAGGCCGGGGGCTTCCGAGCCTGCTGCGAAGGCCTTCTCCTTCTCATTTCCCCCGCGCTCGCCGCGGACGTTTTGCCTTCTGTTCCTCTGGCCCATCCGCGTCCCTACGCCTCCCCCGACGGAATCTCCAGCAGCGTCGGCTCAATGTCCGCTTGAGCTGCGTCAGACGAGAGAGCGTAGCATCGTCGGTCGCGTGCGTTTGCCATTGCTGGCAATGTTGCTCTGCTATTCGCTTGCGCTCGCGTGTTTCCGTTCCCTTGCGCATGTGGTTGTGTGTTTTTTTTGCGCGTTTGTATAGTTCGTGTTTGTCTGCGTATTTGCTGGTTCCGTCGCTGGATGTTATTTGGGCGTGTATGTTGCTTGCGTTTGCGTGCGGTTCCGTGCGCTTCCGTTCTCTCGCGTGCGCATGTTTGAGTTTTTGTACACTTGCTTGCTTGCTTGATTGCTTGCTTGCTTGCTTGCGCTGTCTCGCTTGATACCTGATCGGAAGAACGCACATCATCAAATGGCTGCTCATTGTGCGCACGCGTGAGCCAGCTTGACTTGCTCGGGTTTGCGATTGGAGCTCGGGTTTGCGTGGGCATCCGCGCCGACTGAGTCAACTTATTCGCCTGGAGCATACTCCGAGCTTCTTGATGAGCGTCGGGGGGGCGTCACCCCCGCCGACAGCCCCACATCGACCCCCGTCGCGGGCAGCCACCGCGTGCCGACGGCGCTCCGACCCCCGTCGCGGCGCGACGACGCAGCGAGGTGGACCCCCGTCGGGCGGGTACCCCCCCTCACGCTTGTTCAGAAACCCAGAGCATCTCCTCCTCCTCCTCCTCCTCCTCCTCCTCCTCCTCCTCCACCCCTCCTCACCCCCCTCCTCACCTCCCCTCCTCCTCCTCCTCCTCCTCCTCCTCCTCCTCCTCCTCCTCCTCCTCCTCCCTCCTCCGCCCTCCTCCTCCTCCTCCTCCTCCTCCTCCTCCTCCTCCTCCTCCTCCTCCTCCCCAGAACAAACCACCCCAACCCGACCCGAAGGCCCAAAGTCACCCTCGCTTTCCAGTGGGGGGGGGTCGGGGAACATGGAAACACACATGGAGCCCGTACCCCCCCCAACCCGAAATACGGGTCGAAGTCGGGTCGTCGGGTGGGATTGGGGTAGTCTGGTAGGCAGGGCTCGACAAAACGGAATTCTGGCGATTTTGTGGGCCGTTTTCGTTTTGACTTCGTTTTGCCGCGAAGGCGGAACCAAGACAAAACGAGGAAAACGAAAACAAGGCGAGAATAAGAAACGCTTTTTTGGTCGAGCCCTGCTGGTAGGTAGCCAGAGCATCTCGATGCCCATCAGAAGCGAGGCACCGGGTCGTCGGGTGGGGTTGGGGTGGCTTGGTAGGTACAGCCAGGGCGCTGAAGAAGGAACCCTTTCCGTCGGGGAGGGGCTCGGTATTCCTTGATTGTGTCACAGTTCGCCTCAGGTTCTACTTAGGTCAACGCCCCGACGGTAGCCTTAAGTCGGGCCTGTCCCCCTACAGGGGGATTTTCGACGAAAAATAAAACATGCCCCCAAAATAATACAAAATTGATTAGAAAAAAACATCTAGGGACTATTTTTAAATATTTTGTGACCTTTGTGGTGCACTCTGAAGGTATGTTATATTTTCCGTCGACAATCCCCCTGTAGGGGGACACGCCCGACACAACGGGAGCCAGAGCAGCCCGAGGGCCCCCAGCAGCGAGGCTGCCCGCCCCCGGCGGGGGCCGAGCGGCCGCGCGCGCGGGCCGAGGCCGGCGCTCCGCCGGCGGAGGCCCCGGCGGAGGGCAGAGCGCGGCCGCGGAGCGGGGCCCGAGCCGCGGCGGAGCGCGCGGGCTCGCCGGTAGGCCCTGCAAGGGGATGTTTCGGGGGTGGATTTGGACGTGGCCAGCGAGATCTCGCTGGCCACGTCCAAATCCACCTCCGAGGGCAAGTGAGAAGGAGAACGCCTTCTGAGAGCGCCTTCTCCTTCTCACTTGCCCTCGAGGGCAAGTGAGAAGGAGAAGGCGTTCTCAGAAGGCGGGGCTTCTCAGAAGGCGGGCGCCGGCGGAGGCCGGCGGAGGGCAGAGCGGCCACGACTTCGGGGCGCGAGCAGTGGCGGAGCGTGCCGGCTCGCCGGTGGGCCTTGCAAGGATCGGGGGCCGAAATGATCCCAGTGCGACCCTGCCTGGGAGTCGGAGCCCCTAGGAAAGCAGCATTGGTAGTAGCAGTAAAGCTAAGCTAAAGCTAAGCTAAAGCTAAGCTAAAGCTAAGCTAAAGCTAAGCTAAAGCTAAGCTAAAGCTAAGCTAAAGCTAAGCTAAAGTCGGCTCAGGGCCGGTCCCGATAGAGAGCACGGGGAGAAACATGCACGGCGACAGTACTCTTGGAGATGTCACCAGATCCTGCAGGGTCCTGCAGGGTCTTGCAGGGTCTTGCAGGATCCTGCAGGGCCAGGGTCGCATTGACCCGGGTTGGGTCGGGGGCGGAAAAGAGGGGATAAAGACTAGGGGGGGGGGGGGGGATATCATGGCGGGGGAGCATGATAGTTCCCCAGATTTCATGGCGCCTCTTCTTATTTCATTGCGTCCCTGGCGCCCCAGCTGGGCCGCGCACATGCCGCCGGTCATGATTTGCAACCCCCCCCTCTTGGACCCCCCCCTCATCGCCGCTCCCGAAAGGAATGTTTCGGGGGTGGCAGGACCTCCTACCCTGACACGTCGATTCAGCACTTGGCCGTTTCTGGTTTACGAGAAGGCGTCGCGGCCGTCGTTTTTGCGGGTCCAGGTCCGTCGGTTTCGGTCCCAGGCCGTTTTCACTAAGGGGAGGTCTACTAAAGGGAGGTTTGTCCACCGCCGAAGGTTCTAAGTCGGAAACTGGAACCTATACATTACCAGCGGCGGGCTGTCTCTCAACCCCAGGACTCTTCTTTGAGGGTCGGGGACGGCGTCGGGGTGGTGTGGTGTATACTTCTTTCCCCGTTTCCCCGTGGAATCAGCGCAAAATGTATACACCAGGATCCCGTATACACTAGAATCCGCGTTCCTGTGCGAATTTCAGCGCAGGGTCTTCGACGGAATGTGGTTTCGACGGAATGTTCTGAGGACATTTCTGGCTGGGGCTGTATTGTTTGAACGCATCAGGTTTATGTTCTAAGAACCTTGCTTTTGTTCTTAGAACATGTTTGGGTTCTAAGAACCTGTCTTTGGTTTCGACGGAATGTTCTTCGGACATTTCTGGCTGGGGCTGTCTTGGCTTGACACATCGGATGTATGTTTTAAGAACCTGGTTTTTGTTCTGAGCACTCTTTTGTGCTCAAGGAACATCTCGCGGTATGTCTATAGGGATGCCGGGACGGTCGGCCCCTGCTCAACAGGGGCGCACGAGACGGGGGCCGGTGCACCGCGGGGGTCCGCCAGAGCGCCGTGGTCTGCAGGATCCTGAAGGGCCAGGGTCGCCTTGACCCGGGCCTGGGGGCAGGCAGCGCAGCACAGCACCCGATCGGCCCAGGGCCGGTCCCGATAGAGAGCACGGGGAGAAATTGTCCCAGTGCGACCCTACCTAGAAGTTGGAGCCCCTAGGAAAGCAGCATTAGTAGTCAAAGTAAAGCTAAGCTAAAGCTAAGCTAAGCTAAAGCTAAGCTAAGCTAAAGCTAAATTAAAGCTAAGCTAAAGCTAAGCTAAAGCTAAGCTAAAGCTAAGCTAAAGCTAAGCTAAAGTCGGCCCAGGGCCGGTCCCGATAGAGAACACGGGGAGAAACATGCACGGCGACAGTACTCTTGGAAATGTCACCAGATCCTGCAGGGTCCTGCAGGGTTTTGCAGGGTCTTGCAGGATCCTGCAGGGCCAGGGTCGCATTGAACCGGGTTGGGTCGGGGGCGGAAAAGAGGGGGGTGATGACTAGGGGGGGATGGATATCATGGCGGGGGCCATGATATTTCCCTAGATTTCATGGCGCCTCTTCTTATTTCATCACATCCCTGGCCACCCCCCTGGGCCGCACACATGCCGCCGGTCATGATTTACGCCACCCCCTCTTGGACGCCCCCCTCTTGGCCGCCCCCGAATCTTGCAGGGTCTTGCACGATCCTGCAGGGCCAGGGTCGCATTGACCCGGGTTGGGGTGCAGGATCCTGCAGGCCTGATTGACCGGATCTTGGGACGATCGGGATGGGTACTGACAGAATGGGCACGATGCCCAACAGTAGTTCTTGTTCATTTTAACAGGACTCGCTGTCTGCGCCGCCGCGGGCGTGATTCTTTGAAGACAGCCGCTTGCCCAACAGCGGCCGCTGTCGGTTTTGGACAACATTTGCTGTCGGGCATTGTACCCATTTTTTCCGTACCCGTTTCGGGCGTCCAAAGGGTTTGGATCGACCCGGGTCAGCAGATACCCGAACGCGCAGAGGAGGATCAGGGGGAGGGGGCAAGGCTTCCTAGAAGGAGGCTGCCCTATAGAAACAGGGAAAGGAAAACCACCCCGGCCCCGATACCTGGCGTTTTGTTGTACTCAACGGCCCTGGGCGTTCCCCGAACACCCCTGCCCTGTTCGATTCCTCCCTGGGGCGCATTTACTACATACAGTCAACCCGCATAGTAATGATGGGCAACCTTCCCAAGGTATCCCTTCATCATTACCCCCTCGGCCCATCCTTGGCGACGTTCGCTTGCCAGCCCCGTTCGAAAAACGCCAACATGGCCCTCCAAGGCCTCTGCATCCTTACCGTGCATCTTTGCCTCCTCGGTCCATCCTTGGCCTCTTTCGTTGGCCGCGCCCAGCTCCAAAAGCCTCGAGACGGCCCTCCAAGGCCCTTGCATCCTTGCTGCGCATCCTTACGATACGGGTCGACTGTAGCTTTAAGTCGGGCAGGTCTCTCTACAGGGGGAATACTCAAAAGTATCCAAAAATAGTCCAGGGACGATTTCTTTTTACTACTTGGCTAATGTTTGAATAGGTTTCGTATGTTTTATTTTTCGTCGCAAATCTGTCCGTAGGGGGATATTCAGGAGGGAAAAAACAGACACAATTAATCGTCGATCCCCCAGAAAATATGGGAAAATATGGGAAGTGGGGGGAAGACAAATACCCAGAATATATATATATATATATATATATATGAAAATATAGGGAATCATTTTATTTGTGTGTATTTATTTGTGTGTCCTGGGGCCCCTTCAGATATGCCCGACTTAACTGTAGCTTCGTTCGTCGGGGGACTCGCTACGAGGGTGGACTTCGGCTCCCCACAGAAGGCGCGGGCCCTCGGGCGGTGGCGGGGCGGGGGCGCCTCGCGGCCGAGCGCAGCGTCGGTCGTCGTCGTCGTCGTCGTCGTCGGCGTCGGCGTCGGCGTCGGCGTCGGCGTCGGCGTCGGCGTCGGCGTCGTCGTCGTCGTCGTCGTCGTCGTCGTCGTCGTCGTCGTCATCGTCGTCGTCGTCGTCGTCGTCGCGGGGGGGGGTGGAAGGCGTGGGCGCCATCCCCGCCGACCCCCACATAATGACCCCCGCCGCCGACTGCCGCCGCCGCCGTGCCGGGGGCGCTCGGGGGAAACATTGCGGCGCGGTGCGCCGAAGTTGGCGAGGTGTTGATCCCCTCCATCTCCTCCTCCATCTCCTCCTCCTCCTCCTCCTCCTCCTCCTCCTCCTCCTCCTCCTCCTCCTCCTCCTCCTCCTCCTCCTTCCCCTCCCCTTCCCCATCGGGAGGGGCCGACCCCCCCGCGCTCCGCGCCCGGCGCAGAGCACCGCCGAGGCGCCGAGAGGGGGAGCAGGCTCGGGCCCGAGAGGGGCTCGGTGCTCCCGGCAGTCTCGGCGCCGGGATAGGAGGGGCCAGCTGGGGCTCGGGGAGGGGGCTCGGGCTTGCAGGGCCGCTCCCCCGACGCACGCCGTGGAGCCCGCCCGTGGCCAGGGCCCGCCCTGGCCAGAAGGGCCCCTCTCCTGCTTCTCCTGCTGCTCCTCCTCCTCCTCCTCCTCCTCCTCGTCCTCCTCCTCTCCTCCTCCTCCTCCTCCCGTCCTCTCCTCCTCCTCCTCCTCCTCCTCCTCCTCCCCTCCTCCTGCTCCTCCTCCTGCTCCTTCTCCTCCTCCTCCTCCGCCTCCTCCTCCTCCTCCTCTTCCTGCTCCTCCTCCTCCTCCTCCTCCTCCTCCTCCTCCTCCCTTTTATGGACGGCCGATCATCCTTCTCCTCCTGCGCCTCCTCCTACTGCTCCTGCACCACCACCTCCTCCTCCTCCTCCTCCTCCTCCTCCTCCTCCTCCTCCTCCTCCTCCTCCTCCCCCTCCTTAGGTCCTTCCGTGGCGGGTCCTCTGGCCTCCTTCGTGCACCCAGGCGATGTTGGCGCCAGGGACGGGCGGCGTTCCTGATTCGGTGCTCCTCAGTGTCAGCAGCCCGACTGTGCCAGACGCAGGGTGTCTTGGGTTTCTTGCTGGCTTGCGGCACGCGCGGGGCCTCTCTTTGGGGCGCATTGTGGTCGTGTGGGGGGAGCTGTGCCAGGATCTTCGAGGGTTCGTAGTGTGGTGGGGGTGGTGGTTCCAGGGACGTGTCGGACAGTATCGAGGCTGGTTGTCCGTGGCCGTCTCTTGGGCCGTGTTAGGCCTCTCGGGGTTCTCTTTGGCTTTCTTGTGCCTGTCTTGGGCCGTTTCAGATTTCCTCGGAAGGCTTTGGGGTCTTCCAGTAGAGCGCGGAGCGAGAAGTTCGGGGCGAAAAGTTGGAGGTCAGTTCGGGGCGAGAAGTTGAGAAGGTCAAACCAGCTGGACAACAGCAGCGCTTTGGTCGAGTTCAGCCGGCTTGGAATCTCGTTTGTTGTCTCGGAGGCCTTTTGTGCCGTTCGGTCTTGGTGGCATCTTGGCGCCCTCTGAGGCCGTCTAGGACGCCGTCGGAGAGTTCGCACCCTCTTCCCCTCACCCTGCCCCCCCCCCAACGGATGACCCACACCTCCCCCAGGACCTCCCCCCCGCACCCCTTCCTCTCCCCAGGACCGCCCCCAGAACCTTCTCTGGGTTCATACCGTATCCTCTTCGCTCCATTACCAGAGCATCGGGTTTGGATGGAGGACAGTTGGCGGTTGGATTTGGGAAGGAGTGGAGAATTCAAACATTTGGAGACGAAGACCCCAAGGGAGTCAGTGGATTTGGTTGTTTCTTTGGTGGCTTCATCGCCTGTTGTCGTTTGGTTGCCCTTGATGTCGCATGCTTGCGATTGCCAACTTGTCATCATGCCTGTTGCTTGACTACTGATGGACCAGTCACTGACCAACATGATGAATATGATATACGCATGTCAATTAACAATCTCTTTGGAACGCATACTAACAGTTAGATCGCCCAGCAATTTCTCCGCCTTGGCCGTCGCCTTTTCGAGGTGATCGCCGACATCGGCGCATTCCCACGCCCCGGCGGGGACGGCAAGATCGCTGCCGAGTGCGCTCCGCAGCACCTTCTCTTGACAGGAAGGGCCGACGATCCGCAGGACGTGTGTTGCCCCAGCGTCTGCTTGCAAGCGGGCGAAGAACGGTAAAGCATCCAGTGCCGTTTTCAATACATGTTCCGCGTGCGGATCACGTATTAAAAATGCAGGGATTTTGCATTAAAAACAACGATGAGCTCATGCACAAAATGTGTTCATAAGTTAATCATGTACTAAAAATCCCATGCCAAAAAAGTCCTATGTATTCCAAACTGCCCTGTCTGTTTTTTTCATTACCCGGGGAGCCTGTCTCAGGGCGGTTGGAAAGTTTATGCCCTGGCGTGCAGCGGTAGGGGATGAACTTTGCAGCCGCCCTGAGGCAGGCGTCCCCCACCGGCGACAATGAATATGAATCGTCGATTCCCGAGAAAATATGGCAAAATATGGGAAGTGGGGGGAAGACAAACACCCAGAACATATGGGGAAATATGGGGAATCCTGTTATTTGTATCTATTTGTTTGTGTGTCCCAGGGCTCCTTCAAACACGCATCTTGTGGCTGCCCTCATTTGGCTGCTTGCGTCGCAGTGAAGAGGGCGCCAGTTGACAAGCACACGTTCGCGCCAGCACACTCCCTGAGGATCTTCGCGAGACGGAAGTCGCCTCCCTTGTTCCTTCGTGCCCCGTACTTACAGTGGAGACTCATGCCAAGAAACACCCTGCTTGCCTCATGGGTGCCCTGGGTTTCTTGGGTTTCGATGGTTTTGCTGTGGAAAGCGTGACGTTGCCACACCAAAAGTCAGTGGACGTTCTGAGTCTCAGGGTTGGGTTTCTTTTTTAAGGTTTCTTGTGGTCGAGCTCCTGCTGTATTCGCTCCCCCCTCATCCACTTGACCCCCCTGTCGATCCTTATCATGAAGATGGTGTGCCAAATGGTCCTGCCTGCGTCGTAGTGAGGGGCGCCGATTGACACGCACTCGTTTGCGCAAGCACACGTTCTGAGGATCTTCGCAAGAGGGAAGTCGCCTCCAGCTCTCCTTCTTGCCCCGTACCTATTCTCTCCCCCTTCGGCCCTTCCTGCCCCGTACCTGGTTTCTCCCCTCTCACCCACTCGACCCCCTCTCGATCCTGATGGTGTTCCACATGGTCCTGCCTACGTCGCAGTGAACGGCGTCGGTGGACAAGCACGCGTTCGCGTCAGCACATTCCCCGAGGACCCTCGCAAGCGGGACGTCGCCTCCAGCTCTCCTCCCTGCCCCGCACCTGTTTCCAACCGTGGCATCTGCTGCTGGCGAGGACCGCCGAGGAGCATCCTGGACCATGCTTGAAACAACGAAGGTACGCACGAAGCCGACAAGCGCACAGGGAACGGACGTCTGAGCGACGGCGAGGATCTCCCCTCTCACCAGCTCGACCCGCTCTCGGTCCTCATCGTGAAGATGGTGCTCCGAATGTTCACACGTGGTCCCGGGAGAAGGATCGGGGAGCGCACGTTCGCGTACGCTCTGAGGATCTTCGCAAGAGGGACGTCGCCTCCCTTGCTCCTTCCTGTCCCGTCCTTGTTCAAATGTCTTGGCATCGCTCGGACGTGTGCAGTTGTATCTCGGCGAGGACCGCCGAGGAGCATCTTGAATCATGTTGCAAAACATCACGCACGAAACCGAAGCATGCACGGGGAATCCACGTCCAAACACTAACTAGACCCCCTTTCAATCTTGATCGTGAAGATGGTGCGAGCTTTCATGACGATTCCCTAGGCGAGTTGAAGAGTTGTCAGTCTGTCCCCCAGGCAGTCGGCTTCGATGCAGGTGAAGCTCTCCTGGGACGCTGCCTACTACAGTCCAATAGGCCCTCACGCTGCTTTCCGCGCACATGGGATCTCTGCTATCTTGCTGGCGTCGTCCCTTTCTCTGCGTTGCAGTCTTCCCGAGTGGAAGAGCGAGCGAGCGAGAAGGTTGAGAGAAGAAACGAACGATGAATGAGAAGGGGGGGACGGGGAGGAGAAGGCTCTCTCGCCCTTCGCTTCTTTGTTGGAGGGGCGAAATGCGGGAACGCGACGTGATTCACGCCTCGCGACGGCATTAGGGCCACGGGCTCGGGTGTGCTACCAAGTCGCCTGGCGACGTTTTGAGAGTGCCGTTGCATGTGGATTGTGCGGGTAGGGGGCGGCATCTGCGGCATCTGCGGCAGGGTGGGAGGAGGGGGGGGGAAGAGGGGAGAGGAGGGGGAAGGAGGAGGAGGAGGAAGAGGAGAAGGGGGAGGAGGAGGAGGAGGAAGGAGGAGGAGGAGGAGGGAGGAGGAGGAGGAGGAGGAGGAGGAAGAGGAAGAGGAAGAAGAAGAAGAAGAAGAATACGAAGACGAATAAGAAGAAGAATAATAAGAATAATAATAAGAAGAAGAAGAAGAAGAAGAAGACGAAGAAGACGAAGAAGAAGCAGAAGAAGAAGAATAAGAAGAAGAATACTAAGAAGAAGAAGAAGAATAAGAAGAATAAGAAGATTAAAAATAATAATAAGAAGAAGAATACTAATAAGAATAATAAGACGAAGAATAATAATAAGAAGAATAATAATAAGAATAATAATAATAAGAAGAAGAAGAAGAAGCAGAAGAAGAATAATAATAATAAGAAGAAGAATAATAAGACGAAGAAGAAGAAGAAGAAGAGGAGGAGGAGGAGGAGGAGGAGGAGGAGGGGGAGGAGGTGGAGGAGGAGGGGGGGAGGAGAGGAGGAAGAGGAGGAGGGTGAGGAGGAGGACGACGATGTTGGCGAAGTCAACAATCCGCTCATGGGGACGCGGAGGAGGACGAGGACTCGGACGCGGACGAGGACGAGGACGCGGCGGAGGAAGAGGAGGGCCAAGTGGAGCGGGGAGGAAAGGGAGCACGAGGCGGAGGCGGCAGGAGTTCCTGTGCCAGCGCCGGCCGCTCCTCGGCCGAGCCTGCAGGGACGCACGGACCTCGGACGCGACGACGACGACGACGACGACGACGACTTCCAACAGCGACGACGCCCGACGACGACTCCGATCGACGCCGACGACAGCGACGACGACCGATGACGGCTGCGTGCGACCAACGACGGCTACGACCGACGACGACTGCTCACAACCGACGACGAGGAATTTCGACCGACCTTCGACGAGCGACGACGACGACGACGAGGAATTACGACCGACGTTCGACGAGCGACGACGACGACGACCGGTGACGGCTGATTACCACCAACGACGTCCACGACCGACGACGAGTAATCCCGACGATTGCGACGGACGGCCGCCGATCGATGATCCACGACGACGACGTTGACGACGACGACGACGACGACGGCGGTGACGGCGACGGCGGTTGCGGCAACGACGACGACGACGACGACGACGACGACGACGACGACGACGACGACGACGACGACGGCGACGACGACGACGAGGCGCCTGTGCTCGCCGCACCGCGGGCCGCCCTCCGGCCGAGCCGCCAGGGAGGGGGGCGAGCGCGCCGCTCGCCGCGCGCCCCGGCCCTCCCGCGAGGGGGGGTCGAGCCCCGGGCGCCTCGCCTCGCCCCCGCGGCGCGGGCGCCCCCGGCGGGCCTCCTCGCCCTTGTTGCTTGGGCGTTGCGTAATGGAGGGGTCATAAATGGGGGGTTGGTGAGGGTGGTCCGAAAAGGTACCCAAACGGTACCTAAACGAGCCCCCTGGGGGTCCAGAGGGGCCCGAAAGGGGCACGAAAGGGGACCGTTTCTGACCCCCCCAGTTGTGACCCCCCCACTAAGCCTCGCCCTTGTTGCGGGCCGGACGAGAGGGGGGAATTGGGGAATCGGGGGTGGACAGCCTTCCTACCCTGACACGTCGATTCGTGAATTGTCCGTTTTTTCGGTGTTCGAGACAGCGCCGCGGCCGTAGTTTTCCAGGCCTGCGCCCGCCAGGTTTGGGCCCGAGGTCGTTTTCACCAATCCACGTTTTACGTAAAACGACGCGAAGATCGGGACAAAATCGGATCGGGATGACTCGAAATCTTTGGGAATCGGCGGGTTTGGAGGATGCATCGGGCGCCGCGGCCGCTCCAGAGCGTTTCGGAGCGCTCTGAGAGCGCTCCGGAACGCTCTGGAGCGATTTATCCCGATCCTAGCCCTGTTTTAGTTACGAAGTCTGCTGCAGGCAGCCGGTGTCGGCCCCACCGAGGGGCCCATCCCCCGATACATGGCCGCCTCTGGCGCCGGGAGGCGCCGGGAAAATCAGCTACACGTGAGCGGATTCTCCCTCCCCCCCTTTGCTATCCCCCCCTTTCGCCCGACCCGATTGTTGCTGTCGGGGAGACGTGCCCATCGGTCCTTGAATGTACAGCCAAGTCGCAGAAATAAGCAACAGTTTGGATTCGGAAGGGGCCTCGATGTTCCTTACGTCCTTCCGTGGTTGTTCCTCTAGCCCTGCTCGTGCACCCAGGCTTTGTTGAAGCGACAGAGGGGCGTCGTTCCTTATTTAGCGTTCCTTATTTCAGCAGCCCGACTGTAGGCTTTCCCCAACCAGTGCTTGCAATGAGGGGGTCCTAGCGGAGGTTGAGAGATTTGGCGAAAGTTTCCCGCCGACTTTGGTGGCAGGCCGGGTTCCCAGGTTCCCAGCTCCGGGTTCCCGGGTTCCCGGTTATTGGTTTTGGGCCGATTTCGGTGGGTTCTGGGTTCCCGGGCTCCCGGGTTTCGGGTCGATCTTTTCAACCATCCACTAATTTGGGTTTTTCTTTGGTGTAGTTTACTTTTGATCTCCCAGATTCCATTCTATTTCAGGCGCCCTCCTGCTTCAAGCATCGAGTGGCTTTGCCTTTTTCTCGTCCTCTCTGCGGGGGCGGGCGGACACCCGATCTATGTTCAGCGCCTTCCTGCTTCCTGTTTGCAGCTGCCTCTTCCGACCGATGGGTGAGACTCGGGTTCGGGGGGCTCGAGTTGGCCTGGCGGGGCCATCACGAGATGGACGAGAGCCGACCCGAAATTTCCGACGCGGGCTCCCGTCGCCAACATCCCACGAGAACGGGACCGTCAAGATCCAGGACGCGCTCGTCAACATGCGTCGACGCCGGCCCCCCGCGGCCTCTGGCGACGCCCCCTGGCGCGCCCCGCGCGCCAGGAAGGGGGCTCCCCGCGCAGATCCAAGAGATCCGCGCGGGCCGTCGAAGGTTTCTGTTCATGCCAGTTGGGATTTGCCTCCTCGTCGGGGCACCGTACTCGTCGAGTACGCCGGAATTCTAGTATGCCGACGTTTTTGGGGCGTTGCGTAATGGAGGGGTCATAAATGGGGGGGTGTCGCGGGTGGTCCGAAAAGGTACCCAAACGGTACCTAAACGAGCCCCCTAGGGCTCCAGAGGGGCCCGAAAGGGGCACGAAAGGGGACCGTTTCTGACCCCCCCATTTATGACCCCCCCACTAAGCCACGCCCAACGTTTTTTGACGAGCGCGCCCTGGATTATGACGGTCCCGTTTTCGTGGGATGTTGGCAGCCGGATCCCGCGTCAAAGTTCAGCCTGGGTCCCGTCATTTTCACGGTGGTCCTGTCAGACCACCTTGAGTCGGCCGAACCCGAGCTTCACGTCTCTCGGGCTGATGAGCGACGCACCAAGAAGGGGTCCGATTGCGCCGACATTGGAGCGTAAGGTGCCCGCTTGGGCTCGCGCGTGAGCGCCCTTGTCGCCAATGCAGCCTGCTGCGCTGGCGGCCCGCGTAAGCCACCGCGTACGATCGCTGCGCCACCTCGTGTGAGACGCATGAGGAACAAGACATACATGACGCAATTCATTGTCGATCCCGCAGAGAAAATGGGACAATAGTGGAGGTGGAGGTCAAGACGGAGAGTCCACAATGCAATTTAAACAACTCGGGGGGGGGTCCTGGAAGTTGTGTTTATGTCTGTGTGTGTATGTGCGTGCGTGCGTGTGTGTGTGTGTGCGCGTGTGTTTGTGTGTGTGTGGTGTGTGTGTGTGGTGTGTGTGTGTGTGTGTGCGTGTGCGTGTGCGTGTGCGTGTGCGTGTGCGTGTGCGTGTGCGTGTGCGTGTGCGTGTGCGTGTGTGTGTGTGTGTGTGTGTGGGTGTGTGTGTGTGTGCGTGTGCGTGTGCGTGTGCGTGGGGTGTGGGTGTGGGTGTGGGTGTGGGTGTGGGTGTGGGTGTATGTGTGTGTGGGGGGTGTGGGTGTGTGTGTGTTGTGTGTGCGTGTGTGGGTGTGGGTGTGGTGTGGGTGTGGGTGTGGTGTGGGTGTGTGTGTGCGTGTGTGCGTGTGCGTGTGCGTGTGCGCGTGCGTGTGCGTGCGTGTGCGTGTGGGTGTGTGTGTGTGGGTGTGTGTGTGGGTGTGGGTGTGGGTGTGTGTGTGGGTGTGGTGTGGGTGTGGTGTGGGTGTTGGTGTGGGTGTGGGTGTGGGTGTGGGTGTGGGTGTGTGTGTGGGTGTGTGGGTGTGTGGGTGTGTGTGTGTGTGTGCGTGTGTGTGTGTGTGTGTGGTGTGTGTGTGGTGTTGTGTGTGTGTGGGTGTGGGTGTGGGTGTGGGTGTGGGTGTGGGTGTGGGTGTGGGTGTGGATGTGGGTGTGGGTGTGTGTGTGTGTATGGGCGTGTGTGTGTGTGTGTGTGGATGGGTCCCTCGGCCCCCTCAACAGGACCCCTTTTGGATCGTCGCTCCCTGTGGGGGGGGGGGCGCGGGGGAGGCGCCCGCCGCCCCCCGGAGCTGGCCGGCTGGCCGCCGGGAGAGGGCGGAGGGGAGCTCGGCGGCGAGCGAGGGGGGGAAACGACAGGGGGGAGGAGGCGGGAAGGAGGAGGAGGAGAAGAGGAGGAGGGGGGGGAAGGAGGAAGAGGAGGAGGAGGGAAGGAGGACGAGGGGGAGGAGGAGGGAAGGAGGAGGAGGGAGAAGGAGGAGGGAAGGAGGGGCAGGAGGAGGAGGAGGAGGAGCAGGAGGAGGAGGAGGA